TAGCACTGTCGCTAACCGTTTAAAGCAGCTGCATCTTTCCCCAGATTGCAAGGGAAACAAGGCAGCAGACCTGTGTCATGTTCCTACTGCTTTACACATCCATGCATTGTTGGGAGATGCAATCCAAGGTTTCTCACAGGCCTAAAGATAGGAAGACACCAGAGCAGGGGGGACGAGAGAGAGGGAGATGAACATGAGACCATGAACAAGAGGTTGCTCATAAAATTTCTGGGTTTATATGTCCTAATTCTGTACATCAGTTTCTTGAGAATGAGGTGATGAGAAGCAACTCTCTCACCAGTGTTGGCATTGGGGAACTCGTCTAGATACATCTTGAGATAAGCAGGGTGTAATGATAATAATAAAACGATGGTGGACATCGTGGTACAACTGAAACTCTGCTTGCTCTTTATGTGCATTCATGGTGGCCACCATCTTGGTTTTTTAACCGTGCCTTGCAAACACCGTCTGGGATAAATGGTTGGCCTTGGGAAGTAGGTAGAAAAAAGAGTAAGTTTGCGAAAGGACCAACTTGAACCTACCATACAGTTTGAGAAGTGGTGGAAAAAATTATTACCCCCAGAGACCCATCAGAGCAGAAAGCAACTCCCTCATTCTTGGCTAGCAGATGGCAGATAACAGAAAGGAAGATCAGGAGGCCCCAGGCTGTCCTTCTCACTCACCTAGATCTCTCCAAGCAACTTTTCCAAAGGCCATAGAAATCTCTCCACACAGCTCTGCTGGAATGGAACAGATGGGTTCCTGGATCCAAAAATGCCATCTTCAGGTGGTCCATCAATGGGGTGAAATCCCTTCATCGCCCCGACTTTAAATGCCCAACATAAAGAAAGGGTTTTCTTTTTTAAGCTGAGATCATCTAACGTCTACTTGGAAGCAAGCCCAATGAAATTAGGATTTCCTATATCATCAGAAATTCATTGGTTACCTCCTTGCCGCAAGGGAGTCAACAGCTGTTTTGGAACCGCATCAAAATGTGCCAAGTCCCTCAACGCATCTGATAAAATGCTAAAGATGCTGTTCGGCTTCCTGTAACAGGAACCTGTCCGATATGCTCTTGATTCTGGATCAGAAAAACGGGCATTCCTGGCTATATCTGTTCTTTGTTACTGGGTAGGTGGATTAAAATTCAAACAATAGGCAATCGGGTGAGATGGTTGCTTATTCAATTACCTTTATGCCAAAGATGTTCATCCTCTGGCTATTGTGTGTATGCGTGTGTGAGAGAGAGCACCTTTTTCCTGATCCTATCTTATTGGACACTATATACAAGGCATACGATGTCACAACGTTGTAAATTCCATAACTAGTTTCGGTTACCTAAATGTATCACAACGTTAGGTCCGAGTGAGGACAATGCTTCCTGACCTCACTCCGAATGGGCTTGGCCCACACAATCTATCCTCAAGCAATTGAGAGGAAGGGGATAGTCCCAACTCTCACTCTGAATAGCAGAAAGCCAGTTTGAAGCGAGGGCAACGAACGGTACCCTTAAATTTAGTGGGAAAGGTGTCTCCTACCATTTCCTTTGACTCTGTAAAAACTGTGGAATTTTGCAGCCTCTGGGTGGCTTACAGCTTTCCTTCCATGTAAGTCAGCCCTGGAATATTGGATTAATATTTTAAAACACAAAACTAACACCATTTTATCTGGGCTGGTTAGAGATACAACTCTATGGGGGTGAGCAAAGGTGCTTGGGTGCTTGATCTCAACCCATCGTGATGTTCACCACCATCTCCAACAAGACCTATGGAAGGCAAGTCCAGAACAGATCCAACTTTCCACCCCAGGGATGTTCCACCAATCGCCCTTCTATTGTCATCCTGATGGCGTTGAAGCTGACAATGGTTTGCTGAGCGTTTAATAATTATAAATGCTTTTTTCCCTCTCAGTCACTGGCTTTCTTGCATTGTAGGCATTTATTATTTTCCCAAATTGCTTCCTTAGCTTTTTTCTTGCCCGGCTCCTCTTCTTTAATAATGTCATGGCAGACAGATGCAGTTAAATTCTCTCTAACCTAGGAGGAACAGAATAAATGCCTCTGGAGTTGTGCAGTGGGAGATATTTTATTTAGTTTATTCTTCAAAAGGATCATCCAACCCAACTTCTTTGTAAAGAGACAGAATGGCAGATTTAAGCAGTTTATGTTTTTCTCTCTCTGGGCAGGCATAAAATAGAATTGTCCATTCTTATTGTGATGAAATAAGAATTCTCTGGCCAATCACTGATTTTTCTGTTTATATATTATAAGTATTTTAGGGCAATGTTCAGCGCTGGAAAAAAATAATAAACAGCACAGGAAAAGGAAACAGAATGGGAGAATACAATAAGCTGAATTTGCAACAGCAGGTCTTTCAAAAGCTGCAATCATCCCTATCATCATTGAATAATAGTTGAAAAGGATTTTGAAGACCATCAAGCCCAACCCCCTGCTCAGGGCAGGATCCATTAATGGCAACCATCACATTTTAGATCCCGTATTAATTTTATTCTACTCTTTAGCTCTTTGACATGCCTTTCATTTTTCATGGTTTACCTTCTTTTCTGGGTTCAATTCACTTAAAAAAAAAATTAAAAAGTCAGTTTGGTTTTGCAATTTCAGATGAAGGGGGTTTACAAACTGAGGTCCCAGGCAGCCTTATTAAATGATGATCTGGCAGCTGATCGCTCTAGAATGGGGGGCAGTTCTCAGAGAAAGAGCCAGCCTCCAGCCTGCAAGGAGGAAAAACACGATTCAACGATTCCTCTCTTCAGCATGGGAATTTCCATCTAAAGAATATTAATGTATTTTATTCCATCACACATAAATCTGGCGGGGTGCAGATTCTTAATCCGAATGCCCCCTTTCACCCTCCCTTGTTGTAATCCTGTGATTTGAAACTCAACGCTCATCACGTTATCCCTCCACTCTTAATCTTCTCAAATGCTCCACCAAGCCTTGCACGCTCACAACCGTAAGAGTTGGCCATTCACTGTGATTTTATTTGTTCACCCAAGAGATAAAGCATCAACATTCAGGTCACTGCCAGCCGGACATGTGCCCTGTGTGCGTCACTTCTCCTTCAAGGAGGTTCAAGCTGGAAGACGTTAACCATCTCCTTGGTCAACCAGAGCAAGTCCGAGGCACGCAATGGCATTTCTGAATTCTCCACTGTGGTTTTTGATTTCCCGGGCATCAGCCAATAAAAGCTTGTGTGCTGTGTTGGAAAATGTATTAAAATGCTGTTAATGACTCTTAACAGATGAATCATGTTTTCCCAGGGACAAATTGTGCTGATTAAAATCTATTCCTGACGACAAATTACCAAGATTTATGCGTCTCAACTGGAGATGCCAAACATCCAGGAATCTATCTTAGGATACTTCGTTGTTCTGTGTCTGACAAGCAGCTGGGATTCATTTGACAGCCTAGATGCATCAGCTCTGTAGAGCACATGACAGCATGTCAAATCCACCACCACCAAGATTTTTTAATGAACTCAAAAGATATTGGTGGCATTTGCACCACTGGAACCTCTCCTTGCACACCTGCAAATTACATACCTTCCTGTTCCTCATGTCAGGAACACCATAAACCATGGTTAACATGAAAATAACCCAAGCTGTCTTAAGATTTGAAACAGTGGTGCCAACGGGGGAGAGGGGGTCAAAAAAGTCAAGAGAGCAGTCACAACTGCTTGACTGAAGCCCTACCGCTTTTGTATGTATGTTGAGTCACACATGTACAAAGTCCTGTTGATTGTACAGTTGCAATCACCATCTTGACTTTTTTGACCCAGCCCAGACACACGTGTCTACATAGAGGCATACAGACACAACTGTTCATTGATCAAAAACAAGGCATAGATCTTGAACAGAACTTGTAGACCAGTGTTTCTCAACCTTAGCAACTTTCAGAAGTGTGGACTTCAACTCCCACAATTCCCCCAGTCAGCCTTGCTGGCTGGGGAATTGTAGGAGTTAAAGTCCACACTTCTGAAAGTTGCTAAGGTTGAGAAACACTGTTGTAGACCAAGAGTCTATCTTTGTCATTTTCACTTAGAGCTCCATGGCTTGAAACAATTCCTCTGTCTTCATAGAATCATGGACTGGAAGGATTGGGAGGGACTTTGGAGATCACCCAGTCCATCTCCTGGCCATTGCAGGACTACCACTGCAGCATCCCTGACTCACATCTGCCAAACTTTGTCTGAATACCTCCAGGGAAGGTGAGTCCACCTTCTCTCATGTTTCATTGTAGAACTTTTCAGTTAGGAAATTCTTCGTGATGTCCAACCAAAACCTACATTCATAGAATCATAGAATGAGAGGATTGGAAGGTAATTTGGAGGGCATCTATTCCAATTCCTCAGTGCAGGAATCTACTTCTATAGGATCCTGGTCTTCATCCAACCTTGGTTTGAACATCACCAATAAAGGAGAGGCCACCACACCCAAAGCTTAGTTATGGAACAGCTCTTTCAGTTAAGAACCTTCTTCTTCTGGACTTCTTCTGAAGTCCAGCTCCTCCAGCTTCATGGGAGCATGAATCTAACTGAAGTCTTCTCAACAATATAAGTGTCTTAACATGATGGAGAAACATTTATTCTTCATTTGTTTCTCTTTCATTTTCTGTTTTTTTCTCCATGTTTCAAACCTGACCTGAGATCAAAGCCTACTCATGCTAAAAACCTGAGCCCCAACAGCCTAACCAATCAGACTTCTTCTGGAGATGTTGAGACTACAATACCCAGAATTCCACACATCTGGACAGCTTTGGGTGGAAACAGAAATAACAGTGGGCAGACCAATGCCCAAAACAGCTCATGTCCAGGAGAACTAGGGCATATCTTATGGTGGCATTTAGAAGTGGACAACTATGGCAGTAAGCAATGTTTTCTGCTGGGACCCATCATTTTAATGGAAGGAGAAAATATTCACCTAATTGTGAGATGCTGAAAGCAACTCCCATTGGTCTCTGAGCAGCGAAAGTGACATTCTTGTTAAGTATAGAATACAGGCTTTCTTTGCATGCGCAGGATATTGTATGTGTTCAGTCCTGGGGCATCAAAGCCGGGGGACAGCCCCTTGTTGTCAAAAGGGTAGAAGTTAAACACCTGCCCGTTCTGGATCTCCAAGGAAATTGAGGCAGAACCCAAGTGCAGGGTGCATGGAAATTCCTTATCAAAAACCACCTGGAAGGTGCGTTCCTTCAGATGATGCAGCTTGATGGTTCGATAATTCTTGGGGATCAGCTTCTCAACGTGGGTCCCAAACTGCTGCATGATCAGCTCTCCTCTGACACCAACCTTGATCTCATAGAAAGTCAAGTTGGAGAAGGTGAAATAGCCCACGTAGGGAGTGGGACTTGGTGGAGGGTTGAGCTTCTTCTCGACTTCCCGAAAGGCAGATTCCATGGAGGGAATCAGGTAGTCGTAAGTCTGGGCTACAATGTCTCCTCCTTGGGGGCGAGGACCAGCCATCAACACAATGAAGCTCAAGCGGAGTTTGGGGATCAGGGAGAAAGTGGCTGAGTAGCCATCTATATCACCATCCTTCCGGATGATGTCATAACCCAACTGCTCATTAATTTCCCAAGGGGTCCCAGTCTTATTGGCAAAGTACTCCCTGGAGCACCTCAAGAGGGGGGTCAGCATGGTCTTCAGAGTCTCTGGCTCCAGAAGACGCCGGTGATATGTGCCCAAGAAGACCATGGCTAACTTGGCCAAGTCAGCAGCTGTTGAGAACATCTGGCCAGAAGGCCTGTACCAGCCCAGATCATAGAGGGGAGCTACTTGTCCACTGCCATAGACGCCAGCAGCCATTCTGGAATGGATGGTAGGTGTGATATCAAAACCTGTGTCCTCCATTCCCAAACGCTCAAGGATATTCTCAGAGACCCAGTGCTGGTACTTGCCTTCAGCAGCCTGCTCAGCTAATACATGAGCCAATAACGAGAAAGCCAGATTACTATAATGACACCTACAGCAGAAGAGAAAAGCAGAGAGAATTAACAGCCACAACAGATGATCCATCCATCTAAACCTGGAGACAACTCGAATCTCTCACCGCATCTTTGAGAGGAATATTTTTCACATTCACTCCAGGCCAAAGATGCATTAACTAGATGCTTAAATAGTTGCCCGAGCAAATGCATCTATGAATGCTTTCGAAATTCCACCCTGCCAAAATTTTCCTTGCACCTTTGTAAAACACTCCACAGATTTCGGTAAAACCTGTGTACACAATGGCATCAGAATAGCTTTCTTGCCATGTTTTAGGGTCGCACGTGTAGATCAGTGCAAGAGCAGGCACATCGATCATTGCGGTGAGATCAGGACCACAGAGATGCTGTCAACAAGGGTGCATGTAGGGTTGACGGAAGCATTACAAAAATTGAACAGAGGGAAAAGCAAGAGTGTAAACAGAACAGTGACCTTTTTCCACCTGCAGGGATATAAATTTATCTAATAAACAACTAAATGTAAGTATGAGCTTGTTATCCTTTTTTTAAAAAAAGAACTGGAAATTCAGAGCTCCAAAATCCATTAATTTCTTTTTACAATCCTCCACTATTGCTTTCTTCTGTAACAACATTTGGCTTAATCTCCATCTAAAAGAACTAGGTTTTCTTTTATAAACCAAACTCACAGGATTATGATCCGAAAAAGTCTTTGGTAATATCTCTACTTCTAAAGTAGCCACGTTCTTTGAAATCCAAATCATATCTACTCTTGAAAAAATATCTACTATATACTGTCTATCTACTATCTAAAATATCATATCTACTCTTGAAAGTACTTTTACTTTCTGAAAAATAGAATTGCCATTTTTCTGTCTCCATATATCAACCATCCCAAAATTGTCCATCAAGTCAAAAAAATGTTTTTGAATATAATTTAGGTAAAGGCACTGATTTAAGAATGGTAAGTATAGCTTTTATTAGAGGTTATTTTACACAACATAATAGTGAACTCAAAAACAAAAGTTCAGATTTCTTCACTTTTAGTACCTCTTCCTTTTTTTTTTTTTTAAGTGTTGCTGAATAGGATAGAATTCCTTAAAAATGGTCTCATCCCAGTGGTGTTTCCCCCTCTATTTCTTCTTCTTTTTTTCCCCCTGAAGTGGGAAGGAGCAACTGAGTGAGGCACACATCTTTCAGAGAAGATAAGGTGTATGATAATAAAGATAATAAAGAATAAAGATAAGGTGAATCAAGGATTTTTGCTCACCGAGTTCCTGGATCAACGACCAGGACATCATCTTGGAGGAGCCCTAATGCTTCTTGAGTGGTTCCTTTCCACATCAGGCTGGTGGAACGTAGACGCCTGGGCAGCCCTGAAGAATCAGGTAACCAAATGAACATCAGACCACCTTGCAAGGAATGTCAGAAAGGGGAGCAGGCTGGTTTTGAGGAGGGCTGGGTGGGCGATATTTGTTCAAATTGCATTTGAATGGGACCTTAGCTAATTTTGCATTTTCAAGTCAACCCATGGATGACTTGAACTTCATCTCCTATTCAAATACACAGCGATCCAGATGTGCTGCTCAGCGATCGCTGTGTTTGGCTTCAATGCAGTTTGAATGGTCCATCCGTTGGGGATCATCAAGTTGGTTCAGCTCAGTGAATTGGATCAACTTGTTTCTGAAAACTGATTTAATCTAAAAAAAAAAAATCATCACATTGACTTAATCCAACCCCTCAAAGTCAGACTCCAAATGGAAGCTTTGCCCGCCCTGAGTGTTCATCGCGATTAGAGGAAACTCTGCATCAACTTGCATGCATTCATGATGAGAAATGTTTAATTTGCTGAGTTGCTGGCATGCTCAAATCACAGAGGATAGAGATCTTGGCAGATGGATTGGAACTGATCAACCTGTTGCCAACATTTCCTACCTGACAGCTGGCTGGCCATCCTGCGCAGGGTGACTGAAGATGGTCTAGGGGGCAGTGGCTTCCCTTCTGGATAGTTTGGTCCATCCCCCAAGAACATCTGCTTGGATTCTCTGAGATGCCCCCAGGGGTTTTTGATGGTGAAGTTCTCAGCATAACGTTCCAAGGGGTCATCAAGTGAATTCATCTTCCTTTCCTCCCATAGCTTGTACAGCATGATGGTTGGGAATATCTTGGAGATGCTTCCAATTCTAACATATATGTACATACGCACACATCATACAAAGGAGCATAATCGACAAGGTTGGCGTGACAATTACTTTCCTCCTTTCAGAGCAATTTAAAAAAACACACACAGACACATGTGCACACTCTTGTCACAATGCTTGTAATCATTGCGTCTCCTTCCATCAAAATCAGGTCCATGTTATAAAATTAAGGGGCTCTGGGCCAGCTGAAAAAGGCATCTCCAGCCATTAAATTAAAATAAAATAGAGGAAAATCAGTATAAAACACCAGCATCTGGTGATAAAAATCTTGATCTCTATGGAATGTACATTTCCAAGGAAACGTCCCCACCAAAAGTTAGTGCTGGTGCACATGAATTCCCAGAAAACAATTGAAATTAGCGCCATGCAAAAAAATCCCCCCCTCTTTCATCCTACTAATTCTCATTCAGTTTGAAGAGACATCTTAGACATCCTAGACATCTCCTTCCTAGAGAAGAAAATGTTGTGTAGTCCTCATGGGTGGAGTGAAATAGTCTTGTGTTAATTTAGTGAGAAGTGGCCAAGATTATGTGTATAGTCTGTCTTTCATTGGGTATTTTTTTCTCCACTGATCTGCAGCCGCCCTGGCTTCTCTCCCACTCAATCCAAAGGACTTTCTTCTATGGGACTTTTTCAGATCAGGAAGGAAGGGCAGCCAGGGAGGCTGGAGAGTGGTGGATAGATATGGAAGAGAAAAATATCAGCATCCTCTGTCCAGCCATCTGCAGCCTCCTTGGCTCCCCACCCTTCCATTCAATCCCAAGGGAATTTGCCTATAAGATATTTTCAGATCAGGAAGGAAGGGCAGCCAGGGAGGCTGGTGAGTGATGGGGAGATTTGCAAAGGAAAAACACACAACCATTCTCTCTCCAGCTATCTGCAGCTTCCCTGGCTTCCCTCCCTCCCATTCAATCCCAAGGAAAGGCATTCCAATCGGATTTCTCCCAAGAACTGGGAACTGCAGACTGTAGAGGGATGGAAAGATGTGGAATAGGATGCAAGAATCCAACAAGAGTCTCTTCCACCCATTCCAAGAGTCATCTTAGCTCCCAGATCCCACCAGCAGAACATTCTCGGTCCTCCAGAGAATAAAATAGAAAGAAAAAAACTTCTTTCACAGGGGAAAAATTGGTCCGATGGTCCCCTCGCAGATTAGCAACAGCGTCCCAGAGTTTCTGGCAGCGAGATTTTTCGAGCCCTTCTGAAGCCTTTTGGGTATGAAGCAAAGATGTTACCCCCCATTTTTTTAATTAAATCATGCCAACAAATGGGATGAAGGTTTTGGCTTTTTGTGAGCCATGCTTGGGAGTCAGGATGATGGTTGGCTGTGTCTTGCACCATGCCAACTTCCTGCTCTTGTTGACAAGAGACCAAATATCAATAGGTGTCGGGGAGAGGGGGGGCACTTGGATATCCAGTTGCTGATCCCTGGCCCACATCATCTAGCTGGAGCAAACTCCAAGTCACCTGTAAATGGAATATTCATTGGGAGGAGCAGAGATGTTCCTGGAGCCATTGCGTTTCCCAAAGTTGCCAGTCCACAAGACTGTGTCGTTGTAGATGACTATGGCTGACAAGGCTGGGAGGCCCGGACTGTGGACTTTGTGCTGGAGGAGAGTGTCCACCTAGACAGGATTTGGGAAGACGAAGGCAAGGAATAAAACATTCAGACTTCTTTTTTGCTCATGGCTGGAATGAGCTAATATTTGCATATCACTCTAAACCATAATGCCATTCTGGCTTAGTGTGAAGCATAAACAGCCAAGGTAGCTTGCCGACCTCTATTTCTGAAATAGCTTGTTGGGTGAACCCAATCGTCCATGGCTTATTCAACAAACAAGCCACAGTTTAGCATGAGGTGTTAAGGTAGACAAAGCAGTTGATAGCTGTGCTGTGGGAACCCAACCAACAATGGCTTATTCAGCAAGCTAGATTGAGATGATGGCTGATCCTAGCTAAAGTCTGGGAGCGCACCAGCTGTCTTCTGGCAAAGCTCTCCAGCCTGAGAGCTGGGTATGTGGATGGGAATAGCAAAATATCCTAGGAAAGAGATGGGAACTATATTCATCACTGTGATTTCAACTGTCTCTTTCTAACGCCCTCAGCAAACAAACATACATGATTATCTGCTTATCTAAAGACTCCTGGTGGTTTACGGCAGTAAAAACATAAAACAAGATAGATAAAAACACTGTGGAAATATTATAAAAACATGAGACAGTCAACTGGAGCTTTCAAAGGTCCTTTGGAATAACTCCATCTTGGTTGCTTTTTAAAATGAGGCTGATTGAGCTGGGTGGGGAGGCTACTCCATAGGGTGGGGGGACACCAACAAAAATCAGTATTTTCACCTCCCTCACCTTGTTCATAGAATCATAGGCTCATAGAATCGTAGGGTTGGAAGGGACCTTGAGGGTCTTCTAGTCCACCCCCTTGCCCAAGGCAGGAGACCTCATACCTTTTCGGACAAATGGTTGTCCAATCTTTTCTTGAAAGCCTCCAGTGATGGGGCCCCCATGACTCCAAGAGGCAAGTTATTCCATGCTTAATAGTTCTCACAGTCAGGAAATTCCTCCTTATTTCCACATTGGATCTCCCACTGACAAGCTTCCATCCATTGTTTCTTGTCCTGCCCTCAGGGTCTATGGAGACTCAGTCAACACCCTCTTCCCTGGGGCAGCCCTTCAAGGATTGGAAGACGGCTATCACGTCTCCCTTCTGTCTTCTCTTCGTTAAGCTAAACATACCTAGTTCCTTCCTTCATCCTTCTTCATAGGATTTAGCCTCCAGACCCCTTTTCATCTTTATTGCTCTTCTCTGCACTCTTTCTAGGGCCTCTGCACCTTTTTGTTATTGTGGGGACCAGAACTCATGTGGGGAAGGAACCCACAACTTTTCCACTTTGGACGGTTGGTTCTGGCAGGCCCTGGAAGTTCCTTGAAGCCAAGCTCTTGAAGGCTTCCAAGGAGCAGAGTTAAATCCAGATGCTTCCTGCCCATCCCAGGTCCCTTAATGTTACACAATCTCCGTGTGTTTGCCCCAGAGCAGAAGTCAAGGAAACCATTTTTGGATTACAATTTTATGGGCCTCATCCACAATTTAGAGTTTATATTTTAACTTGATGCATAATCTACAGCAGTGTTCTGGGAGTTGAAGTCCACATGCCTTAAAGTTGCCAAGGTTGAGAAGCACTTCTCTAGAGGATTGTCTTAATGCTCTGCTTATCCCCTACAGCTTCTCTTCCTTTTTTTCTTTTTAACGATCTGAATTGTGTGAACCAAGTCATGTAAAGTTTAACCGGGAGAGATCTTGATTTGAAAACTGATGTGAAATATTTTATAGTATTATATCCATTAGAATATGTTAGTTACAGGAAATTTTAGCTATCTGCTTGTTCCATTGCCTATATTTGTTTCTTTCTCTATATTTCCTATTTTTTATAATCTTTTAAACTTGCAGTTGTACTTGCATTATCCATTTGTACACTGTTTTAAAAATTTATGATTTCTTTTTTAAGGCAGCAAAGGTTCTGATCTGGGAGGGAGGAAGCTAAAGCTCTCACAGTCACCACGTTGACAATCTCTGCATCCTTGCTTATTCCAAGATGGCTTTGTTAACTCCAAAGCATAGGATGGAAAGGGTTATTTTCTTGTTCAACAAGTGGAGACCAGAAATGACTTCTACCCGGTGTCTGTGCTGGCATCTGAAGAACATCTTCCTGCTTCCTGAAAACTATGCTGTCCATGTACAAATTTCATTGAAACGCACCTTGCCCAGAGCATCTTTCAAGATGGGAATGGGATGGTCCAGATGGACAGGATCTGGATAACGGGGGCACATCTCCACTGCTTCTGGCTTGGTCTCCATCATGACTGAACCTAGCAGAAGATCCAGAAGGACAGAGAAGTGGTAAAGGGCAGGAATATGAGTTAGTCCTTTTGGAAATCCAGATTCCAATCCGGATTCACTTGACCTACACCTCTGGACCTCATGAAGCCTTCCCAGGGGCTGTTCAGATATGTTGGACAGCCACAGGACTACCAGCCCCAGGCTGGACAAATCCATTTGCCAGCTACGTGCAAACAAAGAGATGCAGAAGGTCAATATCTTTGTTCTCTAGTCATTGTTCTAGATTTTTGCAGCCCGGATCTGGTAACCCCAGATAAAAAGCCAACCAAGATTAAAATTAATGCTAGATGGGCCTCCATTTATAAATGCATTAAAGAGAGAGAGAGAGACTGAGAAATCAAATGCATGTAGATGGATAAATATGGATTTCCAGCACATGTGTATTCCAGTCGGTTTAGTTTTCATCTTGACTACCTTTTTATGTAGGCTGCCAAATCCAGATGACCTCATTTTGATGTTGTTGGATTTTATGTGTTAAGTTAGTATACGATTCGGCCTGATGGGCAACAACAGCCCCAATGTTAAATATGTATATTTAAATGAGATTTTTTCAAACAATATTTTAAAGATGCCAATTAACACGGATTCTGTACAAAATGACCACAATATTATAAATAGGATAGCAATGAAAGCAAATTAAACATTTAAGCATTTACAACCAATCAACCAAAATTAAACACAATTAATCAATCAGCAGGGGCCCTGATCATATTAAATTATTTTCTGCGTGGCAATAAACACTACAGTAGTTCGTCCTCACTTTTGCACAGGGTTTTGTTTCGATGTTGACAATCATTAAAGTGTAAGATGTTTGGGTGAAATCTTGAGAACCTCTTTATTATTAGATTGTAAGATAAATCAATATAATAAATAATAAAGAAATTTTGAGGCCATGCTGTGTTAGGACAGAGCAGTACCATCTACTAAGTCAGATTACTGGATGTATCTAAACCAATATTAAGGTCTAGAAAAGAGGCAATTCCAGCTAATTTTCTCATTTTTATAACCCTGTAATTCAGTACACCATACCTGAGAATCATTTTTGTTTCGGACTGCAATAAAATTTCAAGTTGCTATGCTGGATTTTCTCCAAAGGTAAGTAATTTGGGTGAGTTTTCCCTATGTTTTGCAAACATTTTTCATCAAATGCAATCCATTTTTCCGCAGAATTATTTACAGGCACCTTTTTCATTCATACATAGGCAAACTGCACTGGGAAATTTGCAAAACGATAAGGCACCCATTCAAAAACGTGAAACAAGATCTATTTGCATTTAAATGCAAAGTAATTGAACGTTTTCCCCCCTCTTACTGTGGCTAAACTTCCTTGAAGGCTCCAGGAGTTTCTCCTAGCCCTGTGTAGAAGTGTTTCAGGGATGTGTGCAAGGTATGGTAAAAAAAAGTCAGATGGGGCCCAAGACGGTTAAGCTCATGGCGACCATCGCAGCTGACTTTCCTGACTGTACCCTGAAGGCATCACTGAAATGTTGGAACTTCATCTTTGCTCAAACGCTGCGTGAAAGGTAGAGGCTCTGCTAAGCTTCCTAAAATGGATTTATTCATTTCCTTTCTTCGTGTGCTATCCAGTCCTGAAGTCTCTTGGACTCAGCATTGGATCAGTTGATGTTTTAGTTCACCCTTCCTCCCAGTTCCCAACTTGCTGTGCCGAACTATGTCCCATCCTCCAAGGAGGATGCAGTAAAAACATGGAGAAGCAGACTGGAGAATCTCTCCGTCCCATCTCAGTGTGGTGGTGCACGCATTGATTGGAACCATGAACTGGACAGTTCTTTGGCATGGACTCACTGGGTTCCACTTTGGGTAAGCTGTACTGCCACAGGAAACAGCTGGTCATGGCCACAGAGAGCAGGAAGAAGACCAGGAGTGCTACATGGACCACTTTGCCTTCCATGGTGGACAGCTGGAAGAAGCTGAGCCTAATAGAGGCCTGATGGAGACAGAAGACACACAGCAGGACCTTGGAACCAGAAACCAACTCAACAAGATCTTCTCATGATCCTTCCCTACTGAGTTATGTGGAGTCCTTGGGGTTCTCTGAGCTTGGTTCTTTTCTTACAAACGAATGAAACGTTTGCAAGAAAAGAACCAAGCTCAGAGAACCCCAAGGACTCCACATAACTCAGTAGGGAAGGATCATGAGAAGATCTTGTTGAGTTGGTTTCTGGTTCCAAGGTCCTGCTGTGTGTCTTCTGTCTCCATCAGGCCTCTATTAGGCTCAGCTTCTTCCAGCTGTCCACCATGGAAGGCAAAGTGGTC